CATCCCCCTAGCTTTGCCTCTGCCGAAATGGTGAGACGCCTTTCTAGAGAAGAGCTTGACAAGTACACGCGATGCTCAAGTTTATGCCAGCAAACGATATCCTTAGGAGACCAATAGTTCACATTTGTATTGGTAACGTGTGCTCAAATGGAAAATAGCACTTGCCAACCTTCGATACTTTTGGATGGGTATACAACTGAAAACGTAAAAACTTCAAACAAAATGAGAAAGAAGTCATTAAAAGTTATGGAGGCCCTATTTCGAAAGAGGTGTCGCAATTTAAAGAAATAAAAAAAAATACTTTTTCTCGTTCCTACAGGGTGTCTGTTTCTACCATATTGCACTTTATTCATTTTTTTATGAGAGTGCGGCAACAAACCACCGTAGTCAGTTCGTTACCAAAAAACTATTAGACCGACTTTGCCAGCTGCATTTGCCAGTTGGTCATATGATTCGTCGCACATTCGCGCATGTTTGGTGGGTGAACGCTGCCACAGAGATGATGTAATAAGCGCATCCGCCGCAAATATACATACATATCTAACCACATACGGTCGATAGCCGGGGGCTCACTGCTCTATGAACTACCCGCTGACAGTCATCTATTCACAGTAACCAGTATTTACTTGGCGTACATACATACATAAAATGCCATCTACGTACTCCAAAGATTGTGGCACTATGGCGAGATCGTCACATCGGCATGCATTTTAATGCTGATCGCATCATTAGCAACTGCGATGGCACTGCAATCAACAATGAACTCATATTCAAACATACATACGTGCCTTAAGTACATACATATATACATTTATAACTCTAGTTATGTATTTGAAGTAAATCATTTCATTTTATTCATCCACATGCGGCACGTCTCATCTCATCTCACAATGCAATGTCGCAAATCTTTACCACGCTCACTGCAGATCTAAATATCTGCAATTGGTTTTTGTTTTGATTTTCATAGCAATCGCTCCATTTGTTTTAATGGCATGCAAAATCAAGCATAAAATTTGTTTGTTACACGTTTTATTACCAGCAGAGTATTCATTACATTTGTAAATGGCTTTGTAGCTGTTACTACCGGTATTCATGTAATGATAGCAGGCAGATACTTTGTAACATAAGTTGAGTTTTTGCTACATGTACAGTCAGTGTCAAATGTAGGTGTACACCTTGTTCTAATATAAAATTCACAATTATTTTCATGAACATTTTGTTTTCTCATTAATTATTTATGAAAATATAGTTCATTATTTACCTTATATCACATAAATTACACTTTGTGCAAAGTTCACAAAAATTCAAACTTCTTTCATCAAAATTGCAATATTATTCAGAATTTCTAAAAAAAAATGAGTAGATGACAGTTTTGTGGCCCGTTCAATTTTATTTATACAGCGAAGTGCAAGTCTCAAGTCTCTAGAAATTACCGTTGATTTTTTAGAATATTTTTTGTGGAGGGCGATGCGCATTTTCTTCCAAACAAAACTAGATTCTTATCACATATTATATAGCAGAGGCACCTCTGAGTGCTGTTATTCGGACTTAATTTTTATTTAAGTGAAGAGCATAGGTCACTTAAATCCAAATTAAAATGGATTGGTGAAACCAAAATTTCGAAAATCTAACTTAAATGAATCTGGTGAAACTGGCTGTGAGTGTGGTTATTCTAATTTAATTTTATTTAAGTGAAGAGCATAAGCCACTTAAATCAAAGTTAAAAACAAATGAAAATTGATTGGTGAAACCAAAAATTCGAAAATTAAAGTAATTTTCACTTAAATGGATCTGGTGAAACGCAGCCTAAGACGAATATGTATTTCGCTCCGAGTATTTATTTCACATTGAAAAGCAAAACATGGCATTTAAATTTTAAATTATTCCTTCAATTTATTTTTTAATGCAAAATGTGCCAAGCATTTTCTAAATTAACCGATAGTTTTTTCCTATTTAGTTTTTAATCATCCATAAAAAGCAAATTTAAGACTTATTTAATTAAATGCATTGTGTACTTCTGGATACAATGGAAGTTATCAAAGAAACTTTGGAAAAACCCCAAGAAACGAAATCCCCGAGACGGTTCTAAAAATCTCAAAAAGTTCCAACAAAGAAAACCCCTAAAAATTCCTCAAAAATATTTCGAAAAAACGTCAAAGAGTACAAAAAATCGCAAGAAAATTCATGTAAAAATATGCCTATCCGATCAGGTGAGCGACAAATTCTACTGGCAGTCAAGCACCGGTTAACTTTAACAAGCAGTCGAGAGAACGGTCCTGAGTAAGTCTCTTATGGCTTCAAACAGTTATATGTTTTTAAAACGTGGCCTTTGTCTCAAAAATATCCTAATCTCCAAACAATAAAGAGCCAAATCAATCGGTAAACATTGGTCCACTATCAAATGGTGGATTCGTGGACCTACCAGTTCAACGATTTCAAACAATTTTCTGGTTGTCACTACAACTGTATTTTAATTGAAAAAAAATAAATAAAACAGTAACTACATATTTGAGCTGCAACTGGCACTGGTAACTTTCACTGCAGAACCATCTCAATTAATCTTCACAATAATGCCGTCGAACCTTACGAACGTCATAGCATACCATACACCGATGAATTTGCTTGAGTTGTGAATACCCTTTTCATGCAGCTATTGAAGCTTCTGTTGCTAATTGACGTAGATAAGTAAATGTACTAAAGCAACGTATTTATTTACGTTATTTATTTATTTTTTCTTTTTGTAAAGAGAACTCATTTTGCGCAATGGTTTTATTGCATACAAGATGTTTTGAAATGAAATGATTTTTTCATGCACGAGTTTTATTTTTAAGAGCAATTTTATGTGAATACTTATATATTACTAAAGTACTTTATATGCAGTACTAATTTTTGTTTACAACTTTGCACTTAACAAAAACTTTACCACAATCGTTTGTACATTTTTTAAGGTTTGAGCCAAACTACTAAAAAACTAAAATTTTTATTGAGGTTTTCGTAAAACATATTCTTCATTTTAATTATACACATTTGCTTGATCCGTTACTTTCAATGTATTCTATTGAATCGAATAGTGCAACATTCCAATAACTACATGCTAATGTCAATGTCGAACCTTTTATATGGCACCTGCCGCCGCTTCGCTTCAGTTAATAATAATTTTTTTTTTTTCAAATTCATTGCACATTTTAGCTATTTAACAATGTTGCCGACATTCGTTGCTGCCGGCAATTGTAATTGACAGCGATTCTTGTCGTACAGCGAATAAGGTGTGAGCAACATAAATCTTTTTTTTCTTAATGGGATTTCTCGTTGCAAAGTTGGCTGTGAATGGCAGCAGTTGCAACCGAATGTCAACGCAGCAAGTACCTACATAATTCGACAGTGTATTTGCAAGCATTTGTACGAATTTATGTAGAACCGCGCTATGTTTTGTGAAGATTTTTATTCATTTTGCTTGCGATATATGTATGTACCGTGTAACCCATTTATATGGGACTCGCATAAGATGGGAACTCTGTAATTAGGTACCTATTTGCCAAGTCCCAGTTCAAACATATGAACAAAAATAATCGGTTAAAATATTGGGTTTTATCCATTACAAACAGAGCTGCCATAAATTAAAAAATAAGTTTCTGCAAGTAAAGTAAGTAAGTAAATAGAGGCAACTGTCGCTGCAAAGGAAAATGTCTATAATACACAAACCAAGTATATTGGTTCACCGAAATCTGTCGAAATAGGCAATCAGCTTCTGCTGTAGACTTAGGGTTGTCAGATTTTTTATGCGCGAAGTCAGTACGTTACAGTTTTCCATGCTTATAAAATCAGTACCTTTCAGTACACTTTTACTCAAAGCAAAACTATCAACGTAAGTAACAGGTAATACTTTAAAACACCAGAGTACTTCTTTTTAAAAATATTTCAGTATATAAATAAAACATTGTTCATAAAAAATAAAAATGGTATTCATTTTAACATGAGTGCACACATCACTGTACACAGGAGCCAATAAACTATTTTATGCTTATGACATTTTTGAATAGCAATAATGAGATCATTTCTATTTTCAGTGATTAAATAGTCAAAGAATTCTATACATTTCATTTAAAATTACTCTTAATTTGAAGTTCAGTTTCAAACATTTTATTTAGAAGCCGGTTTCTCTCTTTGTGCCAGGAAGAGAATTTTATGTTTAAGATCCTCTCAGTTGCTTCGTTTGAGTGTGAAAAAAAAAATTACATATTTTTTTTAAACTGTGGAAAAGTTCTTAAGGACTTCATCTATATTTCCGAATGGAAAAACTAAGAATTTTCTAAAAAGAGTATTTAACTCTATGTCTTGTATGCAAAACTCTTTTACAATGTCAGTTAATTGGGAGAAAAAAATTATAAAGCTGAATCTACATGAGACGATTTTCTAGGCGATTCAACTTTGCAGGCGATTATCGCCTGTCATAAATGGCTTCATCTTATGAATAAAATCAGTACAAGAGTTGAAAAATCATTACTGTACTGATAAAATCAGTACGTCTGGCAACCGTACTGCATCATTGGTTTTTGATCTGTTATTTATTCACTTTAAGAAAAATATCGGAAAATTTTAAAAAAACGGGCATTTACCTTGCATGAAGAATATAAAATTTTGTATATATACATGTACATTATTTCTTTTATTTCTTCCTGATGAAATGGACACTCGGTTATAATGGACAATTCGACGCGGTCCCATGGAGTCCATTATAACCGGATTGCACTGTACTTATATACATACATACGTATGCAGCCCGTTAGTACATTCTCTGTTTGCATTAATATTTATGACGTTAATGACAAATATAATTTTCAACACATAAAACATACGAAACTTCTTAAAGCGTTGGCGGCAATCGTCGCTTAGACAAAGGTTTCCTACTTTACATTTTTTTGAGTAATCGCTGTTAAAACGGTATTTTCTTAAGCATTTTCATTTAAGCTTTTCAATATTCATTGTTACTTTTTACTTACATTGTGCCACGAAAAAGATTAACATTATAGTCGTAGACAGATGAGCGTCCAGGACCTGAGAGTACCAGCGCGCATTCGCTACCAAAGCGTGTGTTTAGTGGCTCACCAAAGTGGTGAAATTGCGCATGTGCGGTGTGATATGGCGCTGATATGGCCGCAGCGAAGAGAAATAGTCTGTAAATGAAAAATTAATTTGCTTTAATAAAAATTAGGTAAAAATTTCACTTCTATAAAGAAAAGCCTAAATTGATGGAAAAATTATATACTCTATTTAAACTATTCTAAGCGCCGCCAACAAGAACTAATCCCGCCCCTCGAAAACCCAACAATCAAAAGCACATATGTATTTATTGTTACATTTGACGTTATCGATATCAACCTAATATATGTATATGTTTATTTGTGAAAACTACATCGATATAATTTCTCATGTATCTACTCAACGATATATTTCTCGATTTTTCGACATCCTCATTGATATGTGTTTATCGAAATAATAATAATAATAATAAATAATATATTGGCGCTTACAAATATGTTAGTGTTTGGCCGAGCTTTTCTTCCGATTTGTGGCGTGCGCTTTGAGTTGTCACACAAAGAGGAGGGACCTACAGTTTTACGCCGACTCCGAAAGGCTATTGTATTTTAATGAGAAGCGGTTTTTCATGTCAGAAATACACTCGGAGGTGTGCCATTGCCTATCGAAATAGATATCTTAATATGTTGGTTTTGTAATCTCGGCCAAGACCGACAATTCGTAGGAGACCATATAAGAAGAAGTAGTAATTTTTACACAAAACATAAACTATCTAAACCATAAATGATTCTCCTTCTCTGTTTAGTTGGGGCTCTTGAAGCACCTAGAAGTATCTTTTAAAATACTTTTTACGAGGCATTTTGGTACGAAGCATTTTGTATTAAATAAGTCTAGATGAGTTAATACCGTTCTGTAATACCGTAAAAGCGTTTTTCCATAACAGCAATTTTCTCATTTATATAATAATAATAATAATAGATTGGCACTTACACATATGTTAGTGTTTGGCCGAGCTTCTCCTCCGATTTGTGGCGTGCGCCTTGATGTTGTCACACAAAGCGGAGGGACCTACAGTTTTACGCCGACTCCGAACGGCGATTGTATTTTTATGAGTAGCTGTTTTTCATGGCAGAAATGCACTCAGAGGTTTGCCATGGCCTGCCGAGGGACGACCGCTGTTAAGAAAAAACCTTTTTCCATATTTTTTGCGATGTTGCTTTGACCAGGGCCTGAACCCAGGCGTTGCAGAGTGGAAGCGGGCACTGCTTACCACTACACCACAGCGGCCGACATTTCTCATTTATATACAACCCGCTATTATCCGCAGTCCTGCTCTCCTATAGAATTATTCAAATTATATCAATGGTTCATTATTATTTTTTCCTTATTTTAAATAAATAAGACGTTTCAGTATGCCGTCTGGAGAGCTCTGACTTCTTCCCTGAACAGACCGGTCACTCCGCGTTCGGAATGGCTTCCATTAGCTCTTTCTCTACCTACAGTCTATCTAGAGGGGACCGGATAGGGAAGTGATCAATGAACTTCTTTTTATCGATGGATCAAAACTTGGATAGTGGGTTAGTGTAGGTGTCTTTTGCCGGAAGCTCTGCATCAAAACTATGTTGAGTCTTTCGGACTTCTGCGGCAATATAATGTGACGTCAGTTAGGGAGGTTAGCATTTACTCTGATAGTCAGGTGACCATTAGGGCGCTAAACGTGATGATAGTGTGGATCTCTCCTGGGCGGTTGGGCTGCATATAAGCTCAAGCGAAAAGCTTAGGAAACCCAAACAAACAAACAAACCTGAGAAGCTCTCTCTGGCATCGAAATCAGCTGCTTCCGTAATGTCGTAGCCTCTCGTGGTATCACAACGGATAATCGCTTCATGGTCCAAGTGTGTCCCTTGCCTGGGGCAACACCTATAATCTAAACTAAACTATCCAGTTCCCTCAAAACAAATTTAATGGCATTTCTCAATTAATTAATGCTCAATATGTTCATAAACTAAATATGTATATCCCCTTAATCTTGTTTAAATATGTATGTATTTGTATTTAGCTCTTCGACGCATAATCCGTAACATACTACCTTACATTTCTATAGACAGCAACAGAGTTGCAGTACGTATGTACTTCCCACCATGTTGGTCACCATATCACATTCACTTGAGCGTAACGTCACAGGTGATTTATCATTTTTTTTTCAGCTGTCAAAGTGCAGTAGTAGCTGTCGCTCACAAATTCGCATTCATTCGCATTTGCTTGCCAACTGTGTTTCTGCTTTATAGTATTAGTTGTAAGTTTGACTTATGATAGTAATTTTATGCCACCGTAATTTAACTTTTTTCACCATTAAATATTTGCTTCTTGCATATATATATTTTTTTTGTACAAAGTTACGCCTTCTCTGGCTGCGCACACTTTCCTATTAGCAACAGGTTGCTGCTGACCCGCATCAACTCACGTTGGTAGGTGAGCGTTTTAAGGCCCGCAGGCGCCGTTCGCCACTCGAAAGCGTTTGATATTTATTGTTTTGGTGCATGTCGATTGCTGATTATGGCAAATATAAATAGTAGAAGCGCGCGTTTGTAGGTGTTTTTATTTAAATTTTTATTTTATTTGCTTTGTGGCAATGAGAAAGGGCGACCAGCAAAAGTGAACGAATGTTGAAAGGGAAATGCCCAAGCATCTTTCAAATTGTATAAGCTTGGACTGCATCATTGGCAACGGTAATTTGGAGGTCGTACGTGCACGTCATGGGCAACACTTTGAGCCATTTGTGCGGCAATTAAGTACTATTGAATTGAATTGAAGGTGTTGAAGTGAAAGTCCCTGTCATTACAACAAGTACCTTTATAGTTACGAATTTATTGGCGATAGTGATTTTTTGTTAGAGAAATTCGATTATTTATCTATTTATGTATTTTTTGTTACAGTACTTTTAAAATACTGCTATTTCCGTGTAACTTCGTTGCCATTTATTATCACAAGACTTTTGTATTATTTATAGTTAATTAAACAAAAGCAAGAAATAGTTAGCGTGGGCATAGCAGGTTAGTAGTAATTGAACTTTATTTCAAACCTCTCACTTTTTATAAGCAATGAAAAAAGGCTATCGAGAAAGTGTTTATAGTTCAAGAAGTCTAAGTGAGCAGCATGTATTGAGGTGCCTTTTAGCAACGCCCTGCCGGAAATAATACTTATACAAGTACCCCGTAGATGGGATACTAGCACCTCTGAACTGGACCTTGGTCGCAAAACACTTGCTAGAGTACATATCTGGTAAGGAGGGAATGTGCAGTGTTTGTATAAGCGGAAGACATGGGTAGTTTCTAGGAAACCCTATACGATCTGATCCTAGATCATTTAAACCTGGTGACTAAAGGGGCCTCTAACAGCGTCCGCGTAATCAATCTTATTAAGACAAAAGTGGTGCTAATTACTCGATGAGAAATGTAGACTGGTAGATAGTATAGGGTATTTCAATGAATTTGTTTGTTATCAAAAAGAAAATTTTTGATTATTCAATAATAAACTTTGAAACAAGAAGGAAATACTATTTTTTAATTTGATATCATAACATGATATAGAAGTTCTATTGTGACCTCAGCCTACATTACAAACCTGAGCTATTCCTGGAGACTCTTTAAATTTCAGAATAGATCCCGGTGGTAGGAAGTGTATGTGCTCCTTTCTTGGCCAGAAATGCCTCCTCCCCCTTCTACGTAAAACAGCCACACACTCCAGAGGGAGGTCTAATGATGTTTCCTTGGCAGAGTAACAAAAGCGTGATTAGCCTGTATCTTTTCAGATTGTACCATACTAAATAGTAAGCTTTTGCAATTTTAAGCAATTTAAGTAAAAAATTATTTTATTTTTTGAATTATATTTATGTATATGGAAATTTACAATCTTAGGGTCCTTTGAATGCAACACCAGGATTTTCCTGTTAAACACCATCAGCGCTCTCGTAGTCTGGCCGCCTCGATATTAGTACTCCACAGGAGTTTGGAGTCCTGGATAAGTTCCAGATACTTTACTTCTGTGGCAGCGTCGACCGCGATCTTATCCAAGCTCAACTTCCTCACCCCATTTAGAGTTGTTTTCTTGGTGAAGTGGAGTGGTTGGCGAGATAGAATGATGGCGTCATGTCAGCTCGCAGCTTTCTCACAGCGGCAAGTACTTGGATCTGATCCATATGAAAACTCCATGGAGTCCCACCATTAGGAAAAAGTGAGGAAAATATTGGCTGTTTTATACTCTGCAGTGGATGTTTGTTAACAGATGAAGTCCAAAGTAATTTCTTGGTCCTACACGAATGATTCCATAGTTAAGCCCATTAAGATTAATGGAGTAGAATTCTCTGGTGACATCTTCCCTAGCTACATAAATCATGTAGAGGAGGGTGTGGCTTCATTGGTATTAGTAGTGATTTGTAGGGATAAATAAGTGAAGAAACATGGATCGAAGCCTACCCTTCCAGCTGGTGGGATTTTTTGCCATGACCTCTACTTCAATATCATGTTTAGGCTCAATGACTGCTGCACCGTTTTTCAAGCTCACTGATTATTTTCGAATCACACTTAAAATTTATATCAGTCTATAATGAAAAAATCACCTCAACACTTTCTAGTAGGTTGCCCTGCTAAGAAACTCCCAGTGATATATATTAGACATTTCCCTAACTTTGTGATAAGCCCCGAACTTTAATCATATGAAACTATCAACATAGCATCAACGGACTGTTTAGCCTTAGAGATAACCTTAGAGCAAATATGGGCAAACTCACACTATCACACACATCCGCCTCCATTGTAATAGCTGGACTGGGCCCAGTAGACATTTTCGCACAAGAGATGAAAAAAATATATATTTATAATCGCCTGGCTGAGAACGGGGATGGTCTAACGCGAAAGACAATAGCTAGAGAAGAAGGTGTCGTTCTATGGTAATCTAGCAGAAACGATATGGCGACCCAGAAAAATGGAGGTGGACCAACAAGCTCATCCCTGGCGTTAAAAAATGGCTGAATAGGTCTCACGGATAGTGTGGTTTTCATCTAACCCAGTTTTTCGCGGACCACAGTCCTTACCGTGAGTATCTGAATAGATTTGGGCATCACGACTCCCCGTACTGT